ATCGAACACCTGCTGTGTCATTGTCCTCGATTTGCCTCAGATAGACAAGTACTTGCCAACGCAATGCGGCGACTGGATGATCGGCCTCTTTCTGTGCAGGTGCTATTACAGCAACGTCCACATGCCTCGACAGCCCACAAGGCAGTGAAAGCCCTGCTGTGTTTCCTGAGAAACACAGGCTTGTGTGAACGCCTCTGACATGCGGTAGAGTTCTACACGCTGCAGTGAAATTACTGTCAGTCTCTCCCCCACCCCCTTTTTTTCTTTTCCCTCTTTCTCGTCTTTCTTGTCCCCTTCCCTAATCCCCCAGTGTAGGGTAGCCAACCGGATGTCTTTCTGGTTAACCTCCCTGCCTTCTCCCTTTTTTGTTGCTTCCTCCTCTTCATCCTCGACACTTCTTTACCATGGTGGTATGACGTGCAAAGTGTTTTTCATGAATTAGGTGGTTCATGCCCTAAGAAATCATACCAGATAAAGTTCATCGCTTTTTTATCATTCTTTAATTATGTTGCGATAATGCTAAAGAAATTTGGAGCCGATAGTCTGGGCTTGACTTGGCTTGGTGAAAATATAAACGAAACGGGTTTTACTTACGTGACTATGCATCGATGCCGTTGCGTGGTTTTCAACCTGAATCTAAAGTTGCTCGTTGGCCATAGTCTTATTTTTTAACCTGCAAATAAAAGTAGATGTAAAATATACCACCACAACATGGGGTGTTCACTTTTCTGTTACACCTATTTTGCTTATTCTCAAGTTATTCTCTAAGCATTCGAATCGTACTAGCTTTATGTTTTCTTCCACAATAAATATCTGTCTGATGTTTATTCTCTTTAAAAGAGGGGCGGCGGGGCAATCGCAGGCTGAGTTGATTGTTGATTTCACCATCATCCTTATCAGCCTGACTACACCCACTACAAGGCAAAGAGCGCTAGCATGTTTCGTTGATCGACCCGCTCGTGAGCATGCTTGCTGCGACTACGTCATACCCGCAATCTTCTTTATCTCCAAAAAGAATTTCTGTTGGGCCTAATTAGTACGTAGCTTTTAAGGCTATTGAGAGAAAAAACAGTGACTACTAGCTAACTTCAAGTGCTAATTTTAAATTCCAGGCCCCGTGCGGTGGTATAATGTTTGGCTGACCTGTTCTCAAGATCCTCGACTATCTGTCACCAGCGTTTGCTGGCCATGCTGAAAAGTGTTGCAGGGCCCCCTCTAAGATTACACCCATTATTTTCACTCCAATTGCTCGTGGCATCGTTTAAGAATGCCTGCCTAATTCATTCCACCCAATTCTGATTATTCAATTGATGTCATTATAAAGCAAATTGTGCCTACTTGTTCCTTGGAAGTCAAGCATGGGTTCATCACTTTGTTAGCCAACTCGGACAATTAAATAGCAAATGTGAAATAAATGAGAAAGCTTATTCGCTCGTTATAACAACGTCGTTCAATACGAACTGTTCGTTAAAAAAGATGATTCGAAACACATGCGTCTATCTTTGATTTTTTAGCTGGATTGCAATCATGCAAGAAGCGCTTCATGAAAAAAACAACAACTGAGGAGTATGTCGGTCATAGCAAGCTTTATGTTTGCTTTCAGTTCTAATTTAGAAAAAAAAACATGTTAACTATGATACATACAAAGAAAAAATAGATACTTCTTACATTTTTTATCTTACCGTTATTGCATAAAAATGTATGTATGTATGTATGTATGTATGTATGTATGTATGTATGTATGTATGTATGTATGTATGTATGTATGTATGTATGTATGTATGTATGTATGTATGTATGTATGTATGTATGTATGTATGTATGTATGTATGTATGTATGTATGTATGTAGTATGTATGTATGTATGTATGTATGTATGTATGTATGTATGTATGTATGTATGTATGTATGTATGTATGTATGTATGTATGTATGTATGTATGTATGTATGTTCAACATACTGTGGTGAAAAAACCTGGAGCAGACATGCCCGGATGGGCTTAGATTTAGAAATCTATCTGTGCCCTTTTCAGATACGAAGCATGAGTTGATTCCACTGAATTAGTACGACGCTTTTACTTTTATAAGCATGCACACGCTGGTCGATTCCGAACCACAACTGTCGTGCTTCGATGAGCGTGCAATCCATAGCCCTTTTGTAAAATAAAATTGCTTAGAGTGTGCTAGAGTGGCATTTGGTCGAAATTGATGTGAAATTTCCAGAAAGGCTTCATTCGTACGTGACTTCTTTAATAAGTGCCGCTTCACGGTGTTAAGCACCCCGTCCTAATTTATTGAAACGTAGCTGCGTATTTCAACCAGGGTAATAAAAAAAAATATATCTAAGAATTGTATGCGCTTGTACAGCTATTTGTATAGAATACATGATAAACTCCCTTACCGTCTAATAACTGCACCGGAAATTCCAAGACAGATTATTATGAATAATCCAAGAACAACACCAACGATGGTAATATTTCTCTGTGCAACTGAAAGAATTGCAAAAAAGTAATATCACAATAAAATACTTTTCAGCTGCCACAAGACAATGCCTTATACTTATTGCTCTGTAAACAAGGCTATGTTATTTTAAAGCTCTCCAATAACGCACATACAAATAACAAGCGCGTGCAAACGTGCGTGCAACACCATTCATTAAAAAAGGCATGCGTTTTCCTGAACATGTTGGAGCTTAAGTCAGTATAATGAACCTGGAAGTTTTCTGTAGAGTTCCGCCTTCACATCATTAATGACACCACAGTTAGTAAATTTACTGATGCACAACAGTGAAACCCCACACTTTCAGAGTCGTAAGGAGGGCTACATACTATGGATTGACTACTGTGGCATGGTGCCATTAGACATGCCGCCTGCACAAACGTCTTTCGGCATTCATTTTTTTTTTGTTACCGATGTTATAAAAAAACCGAATGCACGGCCAGCACGTATTCTTTGGTGTACTGATGTAAAAGTGCATGAAACTTTTTTCGGTAGTCACGTCTATTGAAATTAATTAATGGCGTGCTCGATGTTCGAAGTTTTTTGTAATGGCACTTGATGATTTCGGTATATTGGATTTTTTTTCTTTTTCGTGATTGTTGGCATCTGACGTCACTTGAGTGTTCTTAACCTATCAATTGTTACCTTATGCATTCTCTGTCTCTAATTCTCCACAAATATGGCTCAACAGTAGGTTTAAATAAATAAATAAATAAATAAATAAATAAATAAATAAATAAATGAATAAATAAATAACCCTTTCTTGATCTCATTGTTATTATGACAGAAATTAGATATCGGAGGACATGATAGGGTATTGTTGCAAAGCAAAAACTTGTTTTAGCATATGAATACACTACGCGAGAGCAAATTACAAAGAACAAAAAACTGTGATAATTTTGAGAGCAGAAATTTTCTTTGAAAAATAGCAGGTATTAACAATTTAATAATGTGATAATTTGCTTCATGAATCAAAAGAACGTATGTTTGTTGTACACATGAAACGTTTGTACCAGCGAATGCTTCGAAATGAACTTCACAATTTGGCCCCGTGTATCCCGGTTGACACCTAAAAAATAAAATGATATTCATTAGGGAAAGGCTTCGGGCATGCACATCACTTAAATTTATCAGAACATGCATAATTCTGGATTTACCGACGCGATAAATTTCACTGTTATATCGTAATAATATTTTATTATTAACAATTTTACAGGTTTTGTCATACTAGCAAATTTATAAATGGATGTAACATGTGCACCAAGTATAATTATTGTTAACAACTATCCATCGAATTCTGGTTTATACGCTCAAACAATGCGCTTGTCAATATGATATCGATATATGAGCGCAGCATATTTAGTATGTTCCGACAGTACGTCTTCAGTGGACTTTTTTTTAAAAGACACACTAAACCGAAACAATGAATTAGTTTAGACAATCAACCCTAGATCATTAACAAATGCTGTGAAAGCTCTAGCGGCCTCAATTTCACCACCTTTGATTTATTGATAGATGAGCTATTCAATGTAAAAAGTTTCATTCTTTATTAGGCCGCAGAAATATGCGATGGTGACGGCATGAATTTCAGAGTGTATTCGTATTTTGGCCGCATTAACTCAACGAAGTTTTCTGAAGGCTGTTAAATTCTTAGCTCCTACAGAAGAAACTACAGTCGAGTATAACCGATCACGAACTACGTAGGCTATATAGTGAGCACCTTCAAAATAAATGACGTAACGACGACGTGTGCGAAATTTTCACGCACCCGCAGTTTTTTTTTTTTTTGCATTTCCTCGTTTACAAAACGTCTTCTTTAGCAATGGTATTCTTTTTGGTCTCCCGAAAACGTAATGTACTGATACGAGAAACATAGTCTTTCTCTGCAGTGTCCCTTTAACTATTTCAGTACAAAGAGCTGAAGGAACATGTGAAAGCATAGACCTAAAATGGACAAGGAAACGTACTGGCAGTAGTAGGAAATTTTATCACTTCTCTCACAGGTACCGCGATTCTTGCAGGGATTCTTGTCGCATATTGCTGAAAATGACAATAAAATACAATATTCATCAATTTGACCAAAATCATTTAGAGAGCGAGAGAGAAGCTCTTCATTAAAATCCAGAGAATATCGAATCGTATGTACGCAAATGATTGAATTCTAGCTGGCCACACACTCGTCGGCATGCTTTGGGTTAAACAGTTGGAGTTATGAAAATTAATCACCGTTTTCGAAACGGTGCCGAGATTATGGTATACCTATACAACCACAAAGAGCGACTAATGAAACTTACAGCACAAAACTTTCTCTTTTGTTTTCTGCAATGCCGAAGAGGAGCGTCACCCTAACAAATATATTTGTGAATGATACCGGCGATGGGCTGAGCAGGAATGTGGTGACAAGTAGTTCGATTTGTTTTCGCTCGTAATACGCTAAAATACGTTTGACCTCTTCGAAGTATATTTCGAAAATCACACGCTAACAAGCAGTGCGCTGCAAGAATGTCGAATAGCTCTCGAACTCCTGACAACCACAGCATATTACCCAAGCTTAAACACACATGTGATAGCATAAAATCAAGAAAAATTTATATGAAATGAACGATTATTCATGTATGTGAGGACACGACATACTAAAATAATTTCCGGGTTAATTTCCTCCCGTGGAGAGTATTGATTTGATTGACATGTGTGATTTAACGTCCCTAATTTGCGATACAGTTATGAGAGATGCCGTAGTGGAGGGCTCCAGAAATTCGAACCACCTGGCGAGTTTTAACGTGCACCCAATCTGACCACACGAGGTCTACAGCAATTTCGCCTCCATCGAAAATGGAGCCGGCACCGCCGGCATTCGATCCCGCTGATTCCCGCGTCTCATGAATCGAGAATAGCAATTCAATCAAGCAAAAAGCAGTTGTAGTACATGTGCTGCGGGATTACTTTGGTGAATTTGGAGCAGAACACAACTCTGTATACTTTGGGCACATTAACCCGTAATGTATGGCACGTAAGTGCAAAATAACTATCTTTAGACCATTGAGGCTGAACTCAAATTATGCGCTGTCACTCAGCCATCACATTAGATATGAAAAAATAAACTAAGTGTGCCTTCATTTCTTGATTGACATACTTCCCAATGTAACTTTAGAGTAAGATTACCTTTATTCTTGTTGTAAGTCAGAATCTTCAAGACAGGGTTGTGAATGTTTTTTTTTGTATATTTTGTGTCTTGTCAGTAGTGCCATAATGCTCTCGAAAAGTGGTAGCTGCACGTGTATACTTTTAGAGTCGCGTGCGCTGTTTCGACTAAGCGGTGTAGGAGTATAATTAAAATAAATTGTACAAGTGAAACTAACGAAACGTAATCATGCGAGTGAAGACGCAGAACAGAAACTGACGCTTTAAAACGCAATAGGTTTCATGGAACATTCACCGTTGGTCAGGCACCTCAGCAAGTGCATGATAAAGTGGAATGGTGCCAACTGGTTCGAGCGATTAAGTGTGTAATATATTTGGCCCATAATTTTAATTTTGTTCTTATTAACCAAACGAGAGGCAAAGCCACGTACGAGTGCAGACGCCCTCCGCGGATTCGATGTAATTGATGTGGCAGACGCACTTCCCTTCCAAACACTGGCGCTCTGGCTCTGTGCAATACTCCTCGCACTTTCGTTCTGAAAAGAAAACACAGCATGCGTTCGTTGTATTGCTGGATAGCCCAGGCACAAATGCCAAGTATCATAGGTCTGAGAAAAAAAAATGAATTCCCTTAATTCCCAGTCGCGCTCAAGGAGGCTCACTTTATATACTATATAGACTGCTACTTTTCTGTATTGGGGGCTATTCTTAAACAATATGAATCGTTTCCATTAATAATACTGGCGCTCCATTGCAATACGTATAGTGGCAAAACATAAAACATGGTTTTGTAGTAATGGAATATCGGAAGTCCTATGTCCATGACGTTATACGAAATACGATAACGATTCGTGTTCTGCGCTGCGTTTTGTTTTCTAAGGTTCACAGCAATCTGTGCAATTGATAGATTAAATTGGTCAATTCTTAGGTGCGCATGACAGTATAAAACAGTGCATAACAGCATCTAACAGAAACCGCAGCCCATTGAACTGGCTGTTCTAATACAATAAGGGATTGCAAGTACCGCGTGTGGTGGCTGTTTTTAGTTGACATAGGCCATCGAGGTACTTCAAGGTAAAAAGAGTTAGTTACAGTTAATGCACTTACCACATCCCAAACTTCTTACCTGCTGTTCGATCACAACTGAGTTTTTATATTGGCCTTGTTTGGTTTTCACTGCACTTTCCGGCACAGGTTTGAAAATGTGAAATATATGGCCGTAGTCGTTTTGTAATGCCGGTAGACGACCCTTGTTGAATCACTCTTAGACCATGATTTCATCGAGCCATTTGAAAATAAAGCAAAGGATAGCACACGGAACACCATTTGCTGCTTTTGGGTTGTTTGGTTACGATGGCATACGAAGATGATGGTTCAATTGGACAAAAAACTGCCTCTTGGTGGTCAGGAATGAACCCACAAGATCGATTTTGCAACGTTCTAGTAATTGTGGGTTCATAATACCCACTTTCTGCTGCTACTTCTGCTGCCTATTTAAAGGTTGTCAAATCGGTCCCTACGGACGGTAATTTGTACTTTTTTACTTCTTTTACTTTCATTCGTGTGATGATTACAAAACTATAATTAAAAGTTATAGTAGGTTATTACGCATTCCTTGGCTTCACTATTTGTTGGCTTCATTAGCTTACGTCCAACAATCAGGCGAAACCCCTATTTGTTTTGCATCTTTTCTGCCTTCATACTTTATGCGTATGTTGTATGAGAAATGTGACTGGATAATGTGACATCGCTGTAAGAACTTTCAAAGCGTACGTGTCAAAAACTCGATTTATCCCACCTGCACAGAAGTCCACATGGAGAGCTCCCTGTGTGTACGAAGCCATGCTTCTGTGCGACTTCCTGCAGCTATAGCAAGCACGAATTCTCTCGAGTAAGCCCTGTTCTGGCAGCGTATTGAATTTCAGCTCCACTTTGTATTCGTCCCTGAAAAATAACGATTAAAATGCTTTACGCGCCGTAATGGCGAATTTATTATCAGGCTCGTTGAAGCGGAGTTAGGTCGAACTTTTTTGACCAGTAATAGTTTACGTGAACAGCCTTATAGACCTCCTTCTGATTGAAACCAATACTTGATCGCATAGATAAAATCATACGTGATAGGTGTGCTACTTAAAGTATTAGCACTGTTGCGCAGCAGCTATTTTCAGTCGTCTAGTCACTCTGTGAGATTGGCGGGTACAGGATATACGCTTAAGCATCGAAGGCATCCAGCTTGTTATTCAACTGAGAATAACCTTCCACATCAAATAGCATAAGCAACCAAGGAATGTGTGTTTTACCGCAGTGTGCCACCTTTCGGTGGCACCACGGAAATTTTCAGTCACCTCACGTTATATGGGAATCTCTGAAATTTTAATGTACTCATAAAAAAATGCACTACCCCTTTAGCACATGTTAAGCAGAGTACAGGGGATGAAAGCCTATGCTATCACACTTTATAGACAACTGATTACTTTAACACCTAATTCAGTGGTAATCAGATTCGATAATACTAATTTATCGCATACGCTATTTGCATTCAAGTTACCTTAATTCACATTTCATACGGATTCGTTTACCTTAATTTACGTTTGACTACCCCGAAGTGATTTGCATAAGCCACCATAGGTGAGAGAATAAGGAAACTTGTGAGGTGTTTTTTTTTCTTCAATTTAATCCTCCTTCAGAAAGTGCCACTATGCGCCGCACGTCTGGAATCGTTCGTCTTTTCAACGCCAGACGCTGAATTTTGTCGCTATTGGTCTATATGGAACTTTTTTCATTAAGAAACCACTTAAAATATTTCGTGCAACAAAGTAGCCTGTCAGCTGTATCTGCACAGTCAGACGTAGCTGTTTGTAGTGAATTGTTTATTGCTGTCACAATACTCGAAGTCGAACAGTGCAAAGTACTCTCCGGTTTTTATAGTCTATGCTTGAAAGTTGGAAAAGAACATTTTGAATAGGTGGGGTAATAATATCACATAATGAGAACCTGAAACCGGACTAACTGTTCTCTATAAGGAACTGCTGTCATCACAGACAATTATCTGCAAAGCAATGTCGGCTAGATATTATTATTATTGAACACGCGCAACATTCCAAGAAGAACAGCCATGCAGAAATATTCGGGTGCTATATGGGAAGAAATCAGCCTGTTTGAGCAACGACAGAAAGAGATGTTTTGAAAGCACTATAATGAGGTACTTACGAGCACTTGAGCAACTTGACGGTGACAAGCGCGTTGCCGTAAAGTTGTTTCATCTGAAATACGAAACACCCAATACACGTCTGTTTACCTTGAATGCGACTATCAAGATTGTTATACAAGTTCGATGCGTCTGCTGGAGCCGACGTCATTGAGTATGAGAAAATTGCACGACTTGCTCAAGTATTTGTTAAAGCACTTACTTTTATAAACTTATGAGCTTTAGAGAAGAAGTGCAGCAACTTCTAAACAAGTATGTAGAGATAGCATGTTACTTAGTGTTGAAAATAGCGAAGTATATTATGACTACTTGAACATGTAGTTCTTGGCTTGCACAAAGAAAATATTGACCACAAAAAATGATGCTGCGCTTTCTGAGATGACACATTAGCTATTTGGTATTTTGTCGGGTAGTGACTTCTATTTGTACATCAGTTCGCCCCACCACTTACTAGACGTCTCCGGTTAGGTTACATTTATATGACCAACTGTCGCGTAAACATTCGTTCCAGCCGAGTACAAGGTTTTCCCTATCCCTATTTGCAATAATCTAGCTTTACAAGCTGAAGAGACCATACTATATAAAGCAAAGGTCTTAGGGCTCACAATGAAACGTCGGGTGTCTGTAAAAAAAAAAAAAAAAAAAAACTTTCGGCGCAGTGGCTTTCACGCGTTGCTAAAACCCTCCACACCGATGCTTATCAGCCAAGCCTAGCAACGGAGACAAACCACGCAGTTCCTACACCACGGTTGCCAGGCGTGCGCGAGCCGAGATAAAAGGTCCACACTTCTACTGCATGGGTGCTACAGCAGACCTTGTAGGTTGATTCTGACGCTGGACTTCAGACACTTTTGCGTGATCTGTGACAGATTGTGGTTCGACTCTACTTTGTTCGCGCCATGGAAAGAGCTAAGAAGGCCTTGTCAAGCCCTTCAGATGATACATCTTCACTGTTTCTTAAGCTGCCTTGTATAAAACTCGGCCTATTTTTCCTGAATTAGTTCACTTATTCAAAGAAAGAAGCTTCACGGCATAAAAATAATTCTAATACCTAACGTTATAGACGTTCAACCGTTTACGCAGCGCCGAGATCAAAGTAAAAGATGGTAGCGGTAATCTTTTTAGCCAATGCCGCATACGAGCGCGCGCCGGTAGGCTGAGTTAAATATTTAGCCGTGCTGGCCTGTCAAGCTTCTGTGTAAAATGAACTTATCCAGGCCCCCTTTTTAGTTATCTTAACAAGTGACGAATAACTCATGAAACGACAAGGCAACAACGCTGCGACTGCAACGCTAGCAATACGTATATTTTTCCTTACTGCGGGCCAAAGTTATATAGCGTGCATTGCGATAAACCGAATGCGCCCCGCCGTGGTGGTCTAACGGCTAAGGTACTCGGCTGCTGACCCGCGTCACGGGATCAAATTCCAACTGTGGCGGCTGCATTTCCGATGGAGGCGTAAATGTTGTAGGCCCGTGTGCTCAGATTTGGGTGCACGTTAAAGAACCCCAGGTGGTCTAAATCTCCGGAGCCCTCTACTACGGCGTCTCTCATAATCATATGGTAGTTTTGGGACGTTACACCCCACTTATCTCTCTATCAATCAATCAGCGTTAAGCGAATGATTCCAGCTGCAAGCAGCCAATGCGTGAATCGAAAATTTCAAAATAGACGCCCCTTCACATGCTCTGTTTATAAAATAAGGTGCATCACTGCGCAATCTGGAGTGACTTTTCGCCGTTAGAACATTTGCATAAATATACCACCCGTAATATGTTTGTCTTCTCGCTTTTAGACAGTACTAAATTAACGTACTTTGCGCCTTGAAAATTTTGAAGCACCATTATTTACGCGTTTGTCAATGAATTTTTGTGGATTGCTTTTTGTGAATTGCTTAGCGTCTTTTTGTTTTCTTATTGTGGCTTCCATGCTTATCTCCGGTAGCATGCATCCTGAGCCGACCACGGAATCATTTTTACAACGGCTAAGTCCAAGCGCGAGACACGCGGACTCAGTGAACTTCTTGCATCAACTTCCACAGCATTAAATCTGTTGTAGGAAGCCGAGCGTAGAATTTCGAGCTGACCGGAGCAGAATAGCTGAAAAGTAGGGACCGCACTCAGCACAATTGTCGATGGTGGCAGCACTGTGGCAAGTGCAAGGGCGTTACCAGCTGCTCTGTCACAATTTTTCGTGTACCTAGAGCATTTCCAGCGTACCCGGCGAGTCAACTTACTTAACCGAAGATTTTGCTCTCTGACCGTGTGTACATACTCAAAACATTGTGTGTTGTGTAACACTGCGCTGGCAGCCCGCTGAACATTCGTCGCGACGAAGCTTCCCTGCTCGGCGTGGTATCAATTTCATGGCACGCGCTATGCTACAACGTCGGGTTCATAGGTATGTTTCTGTTCACATCTGATTTACAGCTATTGTTTAGGAATCGTTTTTGTTGGAACTGCTGATATTAGATGCGTCAGGTTCAGGGGCGGATTCAGCCACCAATTTAAGGGGTGGCGGTTGCTTGAATTAACAAAAGAAAGGGGGGTGGGGTGGTCATTATTGTTTTTGTTTCTACTAGCACAAATACCCTGTAATGGCACGAATTCGGTTAATGCGTGCTCGCAGAGGTCCCACTCTTTTTCCTTAACTGGTGATAGCAGGTCGTGCTGTGGAGGGGGTGCTGACAGGCTTGAGGGGGAGGGGGGGGGCGATCGCCTATATTGTCACCCTCTGGATCCGCCGCTGGTGAGGTTAGTGTGAAAATGACGGGGCATGAACCGTATATGAAGCAACAATATGGCTGTTCTACATAAATTTTAGAACACAATGACAGTGTAGACGAAGACAAACAATAACGCCAACACAACGTGCTTGTGTTTGTGTGTCAGCTTTGTCACACCGCTTCAAACCCATGCATCCGTACAAACTGATCCAACTGTCAGTGCTACTTCACGTGATTGTTATTTTAGGTCGGTATGAATATGCTGTTCCTTTGGTTCCACTGGAGTATAATGGTGATGCTGAAGTTAATCCGAGGATTATCCGTACAGTAAGAATAGCTTGAACAGTATGCCGAAGGCCAAACGGCTGCTAACGTTTTGCCGAAAAAGCGGAAAAAAAAAGTTAGCCTGAAGTTTCACTTTCATCGCTCACGCATGGATGACATGCTACACTCGATAAAAGTTTGCGATCACGCGGTTACACTGCGGCATAGCCTGCCAGTATACTCGGTAGATAAGCCGTTCCACGAATTGCGTAGTCGTGTCGTGTGTTTTAAGATAACTCACGTACGACCTTTTTCCCCCCTACAGGTCATCATAATTTTCGGAGCGATAGTTTCACACGTGGCGGTATTGTATATGTGCGCTATAACATGTGAAACGTGCGCTCTAATTTTTACACAGTCTTACGATGGAGGCGAAAACGCTGTAGGCCCGTGTACTCAGATTTGGTTGCACGTTAGGGAACCCCAGGTGGTCGAAATTTCCGGAGCCCTCCACTACGGTGTCTCTCATAATCATATGGTGGTTTCGGGACGTTAAACCCCAGATATCAATCAATCAAATCAACTTTTACATAGTCAACACATGTTCCATATACTGTGCTTCAGACGTTGCTCATCTACAACTTATTTCGTTGTCTGATCTGC